GTACGTTCACTTTTAGTATGGTTTCCACGCAATCCTTTATAAATGAGACCCCTGGACTTCATGCATAGAGAATCGATTTCTTGCAGGAGGCGTGGCCTCTGCTGAAGCATGTGTGTGTTGTCGGTGTGAAGGAGGCTAAGCTAAGAAGCTAATCGGAAATCGCGTGTGCTGTAAACAACCCTACTGAGAGGAGAAAAGTACCGAGCCAAACGAGACGGCTGTAAATGAGAGCTGCTGGTTTGTAAGACAAATTTAATTTAATTTGGAAGCCTTATTAACACAGACTGGCTTCATTCACTTCCTCCACTGCTGTATGCTAAAATAACTAGCAGACACTGCACAGAACATCAACGTCATTCAAAACTCCACCTTCTGTTTGCTGATTGGCSCAGGTRAAATAAACYACAAGCAGACACTGCGCAGAAAATTGACGTTCTCTTCTCTGATTGGCCCGGCTAAAAATCTGCCAGCGAAATCCATCTCAATGGGAGAAGTCGCAGATGGAGCAGTGAAGGGAAACTAGAATTGAGCGGAGCTGCATAGGAAGGCAAGGGCCAGGCTATAGTTAACTCTAACCTGAACCAGAACTTAATTCATACCATACCTCTAAACCTAACTAGTAAAACTAACCATTACATTATAGCTAACCCTAACCTGAACCAGAACGTAATTCACTCCATACCTCTAAACCCAACTAGTAAAACACAGCAGAGCTGCAAACAAAGTGAGGACATTGAAGAGGTCCTCACTTTACATCAAAGACCTCACTTTGATAGTAACTGTGGCACAAATGGTCCTCACTCTGTAGTTAAACAAGTGTAYGCACACAAATGCATGTTTGTTCTTCTATCCTCATGGGGACTTTGCATTGACTTCCATTCATTAGCCGGCCATTTCTACAGACTAACCCTGACTCCTAACCTAACCTAACCTAAACTCAATTCACACCACACCTTAGTCCTAAACCAAACCCTTGACCCACCGATGGTATACATCCCAATGGGTGCTGGGCTTTTGTCCCCATTAGGAACAGTGGGTCCTCACCAGGCTGTGTGTACCAGGAAAGTGGTCAAAAATTGTCCCAACCATGTAGAAAAAAACGTGTACACACACACCTGACAATACTATTAGCTGGTTGAGGAAAAACCTGAACCTGAAGCCTCCATGAGAACAACTTGCTTGACCTAATTGGTTGACCTCTCCTCAAAACCTGGGGGGTGGGGGGAGCAGGAAGGGATGCAGATCTGTAGAAACTCTTCCATTCCTTCCACTCCCCACCTTCTCTTTCAAACACCTCCACCCAGTTTGCCCACTCCAGCCGGCTGTCACCCACAAAGCATCCCACGTACACCGAACACGAGGACGTGATACTGGATCTCCTTTAAACTCTTAGCAACGCGAGGTACTGTTGAGTTCAGAACTGTTAACTGCTGACCCTCCCTCTTTTCTTCTCTTTCATGTGTTCACAGCTCTCTCCAGCTCGTCTTCAAACGCGAAATATGACCCCGATCAAATCAAAGTGGAAATAGTCTGTCGACGAGAGCGGGTAAGTCATCATCAGTGGAGAACAATGGGCTGCGGTCAGGGGCCTTTTTGGAGCTGAGAAGGGGTCTGGGGTGTGGCCCCTACAGGACACTGTAGCTTTGGCCTGGGGCCTCCGGAGGATGAGATMATCACGAAAAGGTCAGGCAGAGGATAGGTTGAGTTTGTCATTTCTCTGAGAGTCACATGGGTGAGGATATTTCCTGGATCAGGATCATTTTAAACTGAATGTCTGAGTAATGAATATCTGTAAAGTTCCTCTAAACCAGAGATGGACAACCTGTGGCCCACAGGTGACTTCCATCATGGCCTCAAATTTTTATTTATTTTAATTTTAAAAAGTACCCAGAGCAGCTCTTAGGTTAATTTTTGAAATTTACAAAAATATATAAAAGTGTCTGTTTGCCACTACCTCTGTGTTTAGTCTGCTTAGAGACGCTGTCACCACTACAACACATTGTACAAAGCTAAATATGTGATGTTTACTGAAGTTACAAGTACAAAAACAACAGCTACTTTTGCCAAAACCAGAACCACACAGGAGTCTGACTTTAAGGCATCTTATGCCGGTACACTTTGTCTTACTAAAGTAAGTGTTTACTTTTTGTTTGCTTCAAACGTTTTGTATTCACTAGCTGTGTTTCCATCTGATTTTAAAGGAGACCAATTATGGGTCCTAGAAATTTTTATGGTATATCTGTGGACTATCCAGACCATGTTCATTCAGTTTAATGCACAAAATAATTCTCAGATAATAAAATTTCCCATTTTCTAGTTCTGCCTGCTCTGACTTCCGTTCAGAAGAGCTGTTTATGTTAATGAGCTCTGTTGGTAAC